TTTGTTGATCAACTGTTAGTTTGAGAGGGACATGAAAGCCATAAATAATTAAAGGACCATTGTGTAAATATAATTTCTGAATTTTTATGTTCATATTTGTTTCTTGCATTTGTTAATTGATTGGGTTAAACCTAAAAAAAAATCGGAATATAAGAGTGGTTGTGGATCCCATGAAATGTGTGGTTAAAATTAATTGTTGAATTTGACTTTGATTTTAATCTAAGCTTTTGCTGAATTAAACACACAATGGTCATTTAATCAGTAATGGCTTCCTAGACCAACAATAGTTTAGGAAACCACTTTTGAGTTTGTCTTGAGTCTTTGAAACTGCGAATAGGATAATGCCTTTAAGAGGATATTAACAATTTGAGCAAAGGTTGGGACGTATGGGATGTTAGAATCTTCTTTTGTGAAAGATTATTGCCTACTAGTGTTTGCTATTGAAAAACCAATTAACAAGTTTGATAGAGTATTACTTTGTTGCATCGACGAGTTGCGGGTATATGAGGCAATGGGTAGATATTAATGTTTTAAATAATGTTAGTGGAAAGACTCATGCTTGTACTCTATGGGGTAAGCTTGACAATTGTATGCTACAAAGATTGAAAATAATAAAATGTTTCTGATTAAGCAGACGATGGCTTGAGATACGAGGATATGACTCCTTTAACTGATCATGTGAATACATTCCAATGAATTATTAATTAGATGACTGGATTGGGTATTAAGTTTGACGATATTTAGGGTTTATGGTTGTTTTGTTCACTATCGGACTTGTAGAGATGCTCAGAACTTCATTATCTAACTCTATTATGGATGCTATCATCACAATAGATCTATCAAGTAGTAATATTTTAAATGATGAGATGAGAAGAAAATCACAGGGATCTTCTTCACAGTCAGAGGTCTAAGTTACAAAAAAGATCGGGACAAGTAAGAACACAAGTTCGAGGAATTGAGATAGAGGTAGAGGAAAGTCAAACATGTTTGCGAACATCTAGTGTTATTATCGTTGGAAAAAGAACACATCAAGAAACATTGCAAGCAATGGAAGAAAGAAAAAGAATGAGAAAGAGAATGAAGAGACGAATGAGTGTATTGCCGTTTTTTGTGATAGAGGCAGAGTTTATTGCAGCAATAAAGATGACTAAAGAGTTGCTATGGGCAAGGAAGTTCATGATAGAACTCAGTTTCAAGTAGAAGAGGTACATGTAATTTTGTGATAGCCAGAGTGATATTCATCTTGCTAAAAAATCCATTTTCAATGCAAGATCGAATCACATTGATGTACAATAACATTGGATCAGAGATACGTTGAATGATAAGTTGTTGGTGTTGATCTATGGTTGATCTCATGTTTTGATTATAAAAAACAAATTGTTTCATCTTTAACAATTGAATTCAAGTCCTCATAGCGATTGTGGGCAAGTTGATCAATTGGAGACAAAATGATCGCTACCAAGAGACTCGCAATTCACGATAAAAGAAAATCGAGATGGAAGCCGAGATTCACGTCAAATCAATCAAAGACAAGAACAAATCAAGCATTCTCGTCAAATGAAGTATTCATTGAAAATATTAGACTTAGATGCTTTGGATTTATATGTAAAGATAAAATGCTTTAATCTTTAGTAGTGAATCACCTAAAGCTCAAAAGTTGAATTTTTATGCACGAGAAAAATTACTTCATAAAAACGTTTGCATAAAAATTATTTTTCGAAAAAAAAAAATCACTTGATTTTTAAAGCTTTTACAAGTATCACTTATCTTGAAAAATTAAGTGAAAACGTCATTAGAAAGCCTGCACATTTCAAAATAATCAAGAACGAAAAATTTGGGAAAAATTTGTCCAAGCGGACGTCTTGTTCGTCCAACGGTCAAATTTTTAACCGTTCTGAATTCAAACGCACAACGACTAGTTTGACTGTCCAGTTCAGTATGCGGATGTCCGGGTGGGTCGCCCAGTTGGTCAGAAATTTTGGTGTTTTGACTGCTAGAAATACCACTTCACTCTACATTCAATACAACACTTTTAAGAGCATTTATGTGAGATATTTATGAGCAAAGCTATATTGATTTTTCTTTATCAAGTCATTTATTTTGAAAAACTTTTGATTGAATTAACTTTTGAAAATCATTCTACTAAACATCAAAGTTTTCTTACCTAACACTTGAGTTTCATTCAATGCTATCTATTAAAGTGTTATCATATTTCTCTTCTAGTACTTAATTTGATCATATCATTTATTAAGAGAGAAATTTCAAATGGTACAATCAACTTCCGTTTAAATTTGTGGGTCGGTCATGTAAAGCTCAACATTGTATCAGGATCGACGCTCCTTGTTTGTAAGTTATAATGGTTCTAATATATTAACAAAGATCCTACCAAAAAAAATTTGAAGATTGTTGTTCAGTTGTTGGGATGGTGATTTCCATCCTCTTGTCAGAAGGGGGAGATTTGTTGGGTTATTTTCTTGTATGTGGAGGAAATCCCAAGTTTGGGGAGCCCAAAGCTCATTAAGATTTTAACACTAAGGATGAGTTTAAATATAAGAATATAGAAATCCCAAAAAGAAAGAAAAAATAGTTTTTTTTTTTCTGAGACCAAATTTTATCAAAGCTCCGATTCTGGGCCATACATGCTCCTCACGAGCTGAAATTTGTCGGAGACATTCACAAGACAGGAATTTACAATTTGAACGATCAAATTTGAAGCTCGAAACGTTGGTTCATGTGCATGTACAGTAATCAAGGGTTATTGGTATAATCTTTCTATTTCATATTGTATTGTCGAGATTTTCATTATTTTGATAAAATATATGTTGTAGCCTCTAATTGTATGTAGAGAAGTTTTTGTCACCCATTATTTGGCTAATAGTGGACATTTTGGTTGGACTAAATTCCCGTTGTTTTTAATCCTCATACTGGGCAAGTTTTTCACATAAAATAAATGCTTGAGTTTTTGTGGCTTGGTGTCATTATCTTTAGATTATTTCTGAAGGCAAGCAAAGTTGAAAATTATATTGTCAGAAATACTTAATCCTACTGCCTTGAAAAGTTACTAAAGATTACATTCTAATTTGAATTAAACTACTTGTACAATGAATTTGCACAATAATTTTGACAATGTGTGAGGTGTATAGATCATTGCCACTGAATTCAAAAACAATCTTTCAAATTAATGGACATAATGTCTGCCAACTCACACATTATCCACCTTATTGTCAAATTCATTGTACAANAATGGACATAATGCCTGCCAACTCATACATTGTCAAACTTATTGTCAAATTCATTGTAAAAGTAGCATGGTTCTTCTAATTTTTACACACCAGAGAACACAGGGAAATGCATCAGAATAAATGTGGTTATTACGTATCCAAAAAGACTCCTTAAATTACTCATTCAATTATTGGAATACTAGTAGACACTTGAATAAAATAAAGTTCAGTAAATGATTCTTGAAAACTTCAGTGACCATTAATTTGGTTTATTTTCCAACAATTTCCAACATATAATATTGTATAAAATGCACTTTACTTATTGTTTCAGGGGAGAATAATTATTCCGCTGTGCATTTGTTTGTTTGCATCTCTCCCAACAAGAAAACCTCTTCTATTTTCTCTTAGATGAAATAAAAATGTTGTTCAATGTACATAGCTTTGGGGTGTAAGACATGACTTGCCGATAGGAAAACGGAGCTTATCGCACTAAAGTACAGTAGATTCGATGGGCTATTCATGAAGTAACCGAATGATTTTAGCTCCTGCATTTGCAAAACTTGGAAACTCATATGGTTTTTTGCTTCTTAGAGCTCTCGGTAATCTAGATGTCTCCCCTTTAAAATACAGAAACCTGAGTAATCAAGTTGTCTCCCATTTAAACAACGTAAAACTCCTTGTTTTAATTCATTCACTTCAGTATTTTGTTTCTTTGCTTATCAGTTGGCAAGTTTATAAACTGAATAAATAAATGCTTACAACTATTTTGTCTTCTACAATGTCAAATTTGACACATTGACTGGTTAGTTATAGCTTTCAAATGTGCCCCAAAGGATAAAAAAATGCATAAATTTTTCTCATACCAAAAAAATACAAAATTTTGCAAAATATGGAAAGAGTAGTGATTATTTTTCTTCAAATGTACAGAACAGTAAATTTGGACCTAGCCGTCCAACAAGGTCCGTGCCATGGTTGATCCATCCGGTGAGATAAGTAGGCTCGTGCTGGCTGATTTCAGTTTTTCTGTTTAATAGATTATTTTTATGGAATCCACAAAAGAAATAATAAGAACTTAAATGTTTTACTAAACAAGTTAAACGGACAAAGAGTCCTTCAACCAAAATTTTTACAGTTTGCCAAAATACCTCTCAACCACTACCATTAAAATGTCATTTTGCTTACTTCCTACAAATCTACCTCACCCATCCACCCCCTACCCCATAGACACACACACACTATATAAACCATCTTCTGCATGTCGGCAAATCACTCACTCCATTCCCAACGTCATCAAGCCACAAGAAAATCAATTGTTCCCAAGGAAAAATTAAGTTTCAGTACTAAAATGAAAATGATTATCTTCCTTGCCTTTACACTATTCCTCCAGGGGACTCTTGGTAATCCACAACACAAGTTCTTCCATTAGTTTGCTAGATATTCAGTCCCGTGCAATGGCTAATATTTTTGTCTCTCTTCTTTCTTGGATGCAGGGGAATTAGACTGTGAGGAATTGCCAATTGGTTTGTGTTCATTCTCAATAGCATCCTCTGGGAAGCGGTGCCTGTTAGAGACATACGCATCAAACGATGGAACCACGGATTTCCAATGTAGGACATCTGAGGTGGTTGCAATTAACTTGCACGAGTATATTGAGGCTGATGAATGTGTGAGTGCATGCGGGGTTGATAGAAAATCTGTCGGGATCTCATCAGACTCCCTTCTCGATTCTCAGTTCACCGACAAGCTATGCTCACAACAATGTTACCAGAAATGTCCCAACATTGTTGATCTTTACTACAATTTGGCTCTGGGAGAAGGTGATCTTCACAACCCTCAATTCCTCCACACACACCCAACCTCCCCCAGACCATCTCATCTAAAAACTTAAATAGTGAATCAAATTTATTTATTTAAGTATAATCTTCAACACAGCCCTTCTAACTGGCCCATAGAACTTTTTTATTCAAGTATTGACACATACACAATTTTCATTAGTGGGACTCGACACTGTGAGATTTTGCATCTGCTAATATGGTATTTGCTAACAATTAACAGGAGCATTTTTACCTGATATGTGCAAATCTCAACCAACAAATTCACGCCGTTCAATGGCTCAGATTCAAAGTTCTGGTGCAGCTCTTGGCCCTATAGCTGCTGCTGGTCCTATGTCTACTGTTGCTCCTTCTCCATCTTCGCCTGTAGATTGTGCTCCAGCTCCAGTGTAATTATGTCCCCATCTGGTGGTATGCAGTACTGGATAGAAGTAAATAGTATAATGAATAAAATATTAGTTTCTTTTTTCGTGTCTATTACTACTAAATCTTCTATTTACAGTACATGGTATATATGTTTTATGTAATTTGATTTGATACAGCAGCTGTAATTATGTGTACTATTTATTGCAAGTTAACGACATCTTATTATGTATTATTTTTTCTCCTTCTTTTTTCCTTCAGTTATTTGATCAATACTACTTATTTTTGAGTTTAAATTAAATATGTTTATGATATATTTTGACGAAAATTGAGATTGGGGAACTCAAGTTAGAGGTTGTTTTACTGGTGTTTAATGAGGGACATTGTACTAATCCTGACATAAAAAAATATTTTATGTGAAAATTTCTATTCATAATCTTTATGACTCGAGCGATTAAGCCTGCAAGGGTCTCTAAAATCCTGATGCCATATGGTCGTCTGACTTGGGAGTCATTGGCT